GGTATCTCAGTGGGTTAAAGCTTCTGCCTTCGGCTCAGGTCATGATCCCGGCGTCCTGAGATTGAGCCCCGCATCGGGCTCTGTTCAGTGGGGAGCCTGCTTCCCTTCCTCTCTCTCTGCCTGCCTCTCTGCCTAACTGTAATCTCTGTCTGTCAAATAAATAAATTAAAAAAAAAAAAGATTCTTTTCCTAGTGAATTCCTCACCTGATTCATGATTTAAGGAAAGCAAAGTCTTCCATTTTGATATTTTGCTTATTTATACCAATCTGCAGTTAAAATTTTATACTGAAAATTTATAGTTTCTTAACATTTCATATCCAAATTAAATTGTCATTAGAATCAATGATCAAAATCCCTCTTTTGATTTTCATTTGCAGTATCACTTTCAGTCTAGGTAAATGTCAATAACTTTTTTTTTACATCTATGGCTTTGGTTTGGTATAGGTTCTTGCTGAAAATTTGGGCATTGGGAAAAATCAATTCATTGGTAAAATGATGTGACATATGTAAATATGTAAAATATGTTTTCTTATTGTAGTATTACAAAAACTATTTTATTGCATATTTTAAAATATGAACTGACTACTTAGACAAGTAGTTTAGGTATCAAAATTAACCCTCAGTAATAAAAAAAATCAGCAAATACATGTGTAAAACATATGTGAATTTACACACTTTCAGAAGATTGATCTCTGAAAATGTTAATGACTTTGAGGAGTACATAAAAAATTGGGTATCAGAACATGGACAGAATTTAATATTTAGTCCAATTAAAGTTGTTAATCACCAGATGTAAATTGTCTTAAGCCAAAGACTTCAAATAATTGAGTTCCCCTGGAAACTGCAATGCTAGTCCTGCAATTTGAAGCTTTCATAATAAGCTCATCAATCCATTTTTTTTTCACTTTTTATCCTCATTGACACAGAGCAAGAGAAAAAAGATGGTCTGAGACCCCTCATATCATCATCATCTTTACCAGTCCTTAATAATGTCATTACATTGAGCTGCCTCCTAAGGAATCTTTAGAGAAGTCCCTTTTTGGATCCATCTGAAAATTTCCAGAACTAATGACACCTTACAAGACAACTGGGGATTAATTAAAGTTGTTAGAGCTTCTGAACTCCAGGTGAACCTTTTTAGGGTTGTTACCTTGTGAACCTCCCTTAGACTCTTTATTGAAGATTATATAATTATTCCATTTAGGTGTCTGCCTGATTCTACTTTATAATTTCCACAAATTCTGTCCTCACATATGTAACTAACTAGTCATTTAAAGACCATTTTCTCTGAAGATTTTTATTTTTCTCTATCAGTTCTGCTAAGTCACACATAATTTACTGTTTTACCTTCAGATTCTAAATTGGAATTTCTTGGGGCGCCTGGGTGGCTCAGTGGTTAAAGCCTCTGCCTTCGGCTCAGGTCATGATCCCAGGGTCCTGGGATCGAGCCTCACATCCGGCTCTCTGCTCAGCAGGGAGCCTGCCTCCTCCTCCTCTCTCTCTCTGCCTGCCTCTCTGCCTACTTGTGATCTGTCTGTCAAATAAATAAAAATCTTAAAAAAAAAAATTGGAATTTCTTCTGATTATGACCATAACAGTGCCAAAATAATATTCATATTGTTTGCAAATGATGGAGATGTTTTCTGCTCATACATTTCTCTTTATTCCACTTTAGAAACTTTCTCCATTTTCCTCCATAAATCCAAATCATATTTTAAAAAAACCAATTGAAGAGGTACCAACTGTTTAAAAAAAAACAAAACAGTTCTATACTGATTCTTGTAAAAAATGAACTTTCTCTCACTTCTAACTACTAATACTTGGTCACTCTATAGTTGTTTCACTTATATTTATTTAAATATATATGCAGCTTGCAAATGATTCCTCAAACAAATTGTTAGGGGCAAATACTAAAATATATTTTTAAATTTTTTAAAAAAGTATTGTCACTGTATGGTGAGTATGCTCTCTGACACATATAATCATTTAATAAGTGCTTATTTAACTAAATTGTTAATATTACCTTCTCCTGGCATAGTTGGATCAAGAGAAATAATCAAAATATAGGAATTTAATACATATGTCACAAATTTTCTCAGTGTTTATCTATTTCTGTTACAAACTGGTACTATATTTAAAAATTCTTCCTCATACTTTTCTGAAATACTATTGTTAAATTTCATTCATTCATTAATGCATTCATTTTTCTTTTGTTCATTTACTCAACAAATCTTTACTGAGAACCTCTAGTGTGCCAGAAACTCTATGAGTATTAAGGCCATGTTTTGACCAAAATAGGTATTTTATAATTACTGCAAAAGAGAACATTAGTATCACTTTTTGAGAATATTAGTATCATTTTAATTAATTTCATGACCTGATTTCTTTATCTATTCTGGTTTAGCACTAAAGTATCTGAGAAACACATAAATATTTTGTCAATGAATATAATCCATAGAATTCTGCATATTGTATTCTTCTTGAGGGAAGAGGCTCTTATTTTATAGCTTCATAGTGTAGGTACACATTAAGTCTGACATTCATGTATTCAACAATCATTATTCAGTACATACCCTATAAAAGACTCAACACTGGATACTGTGAGGGACATGAGGGTATCAGACAAGGATCCTAGGAAGGTAGTAAGAGTGATATGTAATGTGTACACAATTGATCCCATGTAGGACAGAAAGAGAAAGAGCCCTAGAGAAATAAAGATGTGGTGCTATTGAAATTCAGAGCAAAACCAGGTTATTCCCAAATAAAGGATTAAGGAAAAACTTTTTGGAAGAGTTGGCTTTGAGCTGGGCCTAGGAGGATGGGATGAATTTAGCCATAGAAAATGGAATAGATAGGAAAGGAAAAAGAGAAGGTAGCAGAAGGGCACAGAAAGTATCTTTTTCCATATAAATTATGCTTCATTAAAACAAGACCAATTTTTTTCTGAAATTATTCTATTACTTTTTATGCATAATTATGTTCAATTATTGTAATATACACCTTTGAAATATTCAAAAATAAATTATCCTAATCTCCCATTTTTTTTCTTCTTCCTTGTCTCTTAGGGTTAGCTAAGCCCATTTAAGTGTTACCAGAAGAAAGATGCTGAAAGTCACTCACTTTCAGAAAATTATTCCAAAATCTCTATCAGCTGAATGTAGCTCTACAAAGCTAAATCAAGAAATTGTTTTACTCTCTCCTAGTTGTGTTTTTAGTGTGTGGTAATTTTTTTTTCTACCAAATAGTTTCTGAAACAAGATGTAGTACTTTATTATCACCATTTTTATGCACTAATATACAAAGATTAAATTACAATTTGTTTGAAAATATTAGCAGATGCTTTAAATATGTAGCCAATCACATACAATATTCAGTGTCTGTGACATGATGCAAAACTTTCCGCCATCCTAAATAATTGTGCTGTCTTGATATGTAACTGGGATTATTAAGATACCACCTACAGTATAAATTCTTAGCTCATGATGGCTTTTCTATTTAACATACTACAAATAAAGCAATTACTCAAAGTTGAAAATGGTCATTTTCCTAATGATATGTTATGCTTAGCTTTAAAAGTATCAGTTCACACTCATCTTTTTCCTAATTGCCTACAGTATTCTCTCTAAGTAGAATTTCCCTTCACTTCTTTAACTAGGCTGTCCTTCTGGTCATGCAACATGCATATTTATGCATTACATGTAGTTTTCCTCCACTCCATAATGACCTTAAAGTTGTTTCTTTCTTTGTCACCCCCCCCAGATATTACTTAATGAAGCATCCAGATCTCTTTGGGTCTCATTGGTCAATAAATGGTCAATGCTATAATGATTTTGTGACAATTAGTTCTACTGGTTTCTGTCAATCACATATAGGGGAGAATCACTTAACTATCATAAGAACTCTTCCTACTTTCCCATGAAGATTGTAACTTTTTTCAGAAAAAAATATTTGGGAGATAGATTTTTCTAAGAATGCATTTGTTTAATGACAATTTTATTCATAATTGTAAAAAAAAAAAAAAGAAACAACGTATTTGTCCTTCAACTGGTGAATGTAGTAACTATGGCACATCCTTACAATGAAACACTGCATAGTAATAAAAAGGAAGAAAACATTGATACACATAATGATATGAATAAATAAATATCAAATATATCATGATATGTAAAGAAGCCAGACTTAAAAGGTTACATATCATATCATTTCTACTTATATGGCATGCTAGAAAAGTCAAAATTGTAATGGCAAAAAACTGATTGCTGTTTCCAAGCCCTGGGAGGGAGAAAAGTTGTCCATATAGGGCCATAAGGAAACATTTTGGGTTGACTAAACTGCCCTAAAACTTAATTTTGATGGTGGGCACATGATTGTTTGCATTTGTCAAACTCACACAAACTCTGTACCTTAAATGGGCAAAAGTTACTATATATAAATACTACCTCAAAAAATGTGACTTTAAAAAAGTAAAAATAAATGGATATCTCAAAATGTGATCAATCTGAAAAGATATGGTCAATAATCATTTAGAGATCCATCAAGAACAGAAAGGAATTATTCATTCCATAGGCTGTTTTATAAAATTTCCTTTTCAAAAGGAGTACAAATAACATTCATGTATCTTTTGTTTTATAAATAAAAATTACATTTTGGGAGGAAAACTTCATTGAACAAATGCCTTGTGTTTCACTGTTGTGTTAATTATGAATTTACTAAAATAATCTCCAAAAGTAACAGTATTTTGTTAAATACAAGCTTACTTAATGAGTTTATTAGTTATGATAATTATCTAGTTTTAAAATAATGCACTGCTATTATTAACAATTTTAAGATTATCTTTTATCTCTCAGTCTAGTAAACAACTTAATAATTCAGGAAGACAATGGAGAAAAACCACTGCTAGAAACTCTCACATAACAGAACAGGAACTCAGATACAAGAGACAAAATAGCAGAATTAGAAATAATCCTGAGAAGGATGCTTTAGACAGCAAATGCCTTACCTTTGCGTTTGGGTGGCATAGCTGTTATCGTAAGTCTCATAGGTCTGGTCATCATATTCACCCCCGTAGCCATCATCATACCCCTAAGGCAGAAAATGGTAGAAAGACCTATTAGCAATCAACTTGATTAACTTAGGTCTGGTTTGGCTTAATGAGATTTTAAATGATGTGACCTTAATTTAGTTTTTATGTTTGGTTAGTTACTCTGCATCAGATTTTACTAGACTAATAATTTCTTCATAACCTTGACTAATATTTCATGGACCAGATATTAATGCTTAATAATTAAACTCAGCATGTCATTAAAATAGCAATACCTACCCTATAATTTATCTGGAATTTTAATCAATATTAAAGAAGACTATATAAGAAGTTAAAAATAAATTTTCTTTCGAAAATACTGTGGTTAGATAGTGTGCTAATATCATGGTGGTGTTAACATACTGGTTACAGCCCCACTGGGTTTTTTTTTTTCCTTCCCCGATAATAATCACAATTATGATTGAAACTATAAAATTCAGGATCCTTAAATTGTTACCAACTTTCAGTAAAAAAGATACAGTCATCATTGCAAAACAAACAAAAAAGAAAGGAGGAAAAAGAAAAAGGGAAAGAAGAATAGGAGGGAAGGAAGGAAGGAAAGATGAGAAGCGAGGGAAGGAAGGGACAGAGGGAAGGACAGAGGGAGGATAGGAGGCAGGAAGGAAGGGAAGAGGAAAAAAAGACAGAAACCCCACAAAGAGCCTTTGTTTTGTTGTCCATTCTACAGTTTTAAAATCTCATAAATAAGATAATGTTGGTGGTGAGTTTGATTACCTAATTAAATTAATGCTACCAAAACTAATGCAGATTTGTCATTGCAGACTGTGAAAGCAAACTAGCAGTGTACAATCCAGTTATCAATCACTGTGTGAGAAATTTACCTTTATTTCCCTTTGTAGTCACTGACTGTACTCTAAACCCTAGCCATCCACCTCAACTACTCCCTACCTCTGAAAAAAGCTTTTGATTTTTCTGTCTCTGGGCCTTTGCTGGTGTGTCTCTTTCCCTGGAATGCACTTCCATCCCATCCCACCAATTCATAACTTCATTTCAGTCTGGAGGCTTATAAATCTCTCTATTATGTTCAAGAATTTAAACAAAAAATATGTAGACATGAAAGTTTCCATATCAGTTTTGACTAAGATCTTGAGTTCATTTAATCTGAAAACTAATATTTTTTTCATCAACCTAAGAACGTTTTTAAAATATTATTTATGACTTCTCCATCTGGCTTACCACTTATATAATGCTATTATTTATATATGAGGTTTGCTGAGTCTGACTTTAATTTCTTTTATTCTACTTACGGTTTTCCTCATATTTTTGCTCTGCACTAAGGGATCGTTTCTCTATTTGATCTTTGACTATTCTAATTCAGTTCCTGTTGAATTAAAAAATTAAATATTCTAAAGTTAATTTTAACATATAAGATTATTTTTTAAAATAGTACTAAAGGATTTATGCACAAAAAACAGCACTTTCTTTCTTTGTCCCTCTATAAACCTCAGTTCTCTTTAAGCCTTTTCATCTATTATTCTAGTATTAATTTTTTGTATTAAGTAATATGGTTAATGTTGCTGATTTATGAATTTTGATTATTTTCTATTGACTAGCCATTCAGGTTACTAAGGATTGTTTTTTTTAGAGTCTTCTCTACATTTTTCCCTGCACTTTAATATAGTTTCATCGTTATTTTTGTTAAATAGTCAATATCTACACTGTCATTCAATAATAAATATTATTCACTAAGAATCCAAATAAGTAAATACAATTCTTTTTAAATTTTCATATACTTTTTGTTTCTCCTAAAGTTAATAATTGCTCAATCATTTTATTATTTTCTTGGCTTCCTATATATTTTGAATTATTTCTTTGTAATTATCCCCCTGCGTTGGGCTCCATACCCAGGGTTCTCTCTCTCTCGTTACCCCTCCCCTTCTCCCCTCCACTCATATACTCGTTCTTTCTCAAAAGAGTATAGTTAACATACAATTTAATATTAGTTTCAGGTGTATAATATACTGCATCAGCACTTCCATACAACACCCAGTGTCCATTACAGCAAGTGCCCCCTTAATCCCCATCACCTGTTTTACCCACACACCGCTGCTCTGGTAGCTATCACTTTTGCTCTCTCTGTAGTTAACACAATGTTTCTTGGTTTGCCTCCCTCTTTTTTTCCCTTTGCTTATTTGTTTCTTAAATTGACATGAGTGAAATCAGATGGTATTTGTCTTTCTCTGACTTATTTCATTTAGCATAATACTTTCTAGCTCCATCCATGTCATTGCAAATGGCAGGATTTCACTCATTTTTATGGCTGAGTAATATTCCATCATATATATACACACACATATATATATATGTGTGTGTGTGTGTGTGTGTGTGTGTGTATGTGTGTGTGTGTATATATGTGTGTGTGTGTGTGTGTGTGTGTGTGTATATATATATATGTACACACACACACACACACACCCCTCTTTATCTATTCATCAGTCATTGGGTACTTGGCTGTTTCCACAATTTGGCTATTGTACACAGTGCTGCTATAAACATCAGTGTCTATGTATCCCTTTAAATTAGTATTTTTGTATCCTTTGGGTAAATACCTAGTAGTGTGATTTATGGATTATATAGTGTAGTTCTATTTTTAACTTTTTGAGGAAACTCCATACTGTTTTCTAGGGTGGCTGCACCAGTTTCTATTCCCACCAACAGTGTAGGAGGGTTCCCCTTTCTCCACATCCTCACCAACACCTGCTGTTTTCCTGTGTTGTTAATTTTAGCCAGACTGACAAGCATAAGGTGATATCTCATTGTGGTATTTCCCTGATGATGAGTGATGTTGAGCATTTTTTTATGTGTCTGTTAGCCGTCTGGATGTCTTCCTTGGAAAAATGTCTATTCATGTCTTCTGCCCATTTTTAAACTGGATTATTTGTTTTTTAGGTGTTGAGTTTTATAAGTTCTTTATATATTTTGGATACTAACCCTTTATTGAATGTGAAATTTGCAAATATCTCCTCCCATTCTATAGGTTGCCTCTTAGTTTTGTTGAGTGTTTCCTTCACTGTGCAGAAGCTTTTTATTTTGACATAGTCCCAATAGATTGTTTTTATTGCTATGTCCAATGTCAAAGAGGTTACTGCCTGTGTTCCCCATGAGGATTTTAACTAAATTTCTAAAATCCTCTAGGATTTTAACTTTCCCATTTAGGTCTTTCATCCATTTTGAATCTATGTTTGTGTATGGTGTAAGAATGTGTTCCGGTTTCATTCTTTTACATGTGGCTGTCCAGTTTTCCCAACACCATTTGTTGAAGAGACTGTCTTTTTCCCATTGGATATTCTTTCCTGCTTTGTCAAAGATTAATTGACCATATGCTTGTGGTTTATTTCTTGGTTTATTATATTGTCTTGATCTATGTGTCTGTGTCTATCTTTGCGCCAGTGCCATACTGTTTTGATCACTACAACTTTGCAATATAACTTGATTGTGATGCCTCCAGCCTTGCTTTTCTTTTTCAACATTGCTTTGGCTATTTGGGGTCTTTTATGGTTCCATAAAACTTAAGGATTGTTTGTCCTAGCACTGTGAAAAATGCTATAATTTGCGGATAGAAGACCAATGTATAGAAATCTATTGCATTTCTGCACAAAAATAATGAAGCAGCAGAAAGAGAAACTAAGGAATCAATCCCATTTACAATTACACCAAAAACAATAAGATACCTATGAGTAAACGTAACCAAAGAGATAAAAGACCTGTACTCTGAAAAGAATAAAACAGTGATGAAAGAAACTGAAGATGACACAAAGAAATGGAAAGACAGACATTCCATGCTTATGGGTTGAAAGAACAAATAATATTAAAATGTCTGTATCACCCAAAGCAATCTACACATTTAATGCAATCCCTATCAAAATCCTCCAGGCTTTTATTGGTTTCTATAACTCTGCTTTTTTGAGTAGTCTAGACCAGTTGTTTTGTTGACTTTCCTATATTCTGAATTTGATTATTCTCATTATTATTTTGTTTCAATGTTTTTGAAAGGATACTGCACCTGTGATACTGTGTTGAATATTTATCTGATTGCAAATTTTAAAATTCTAACTCCACACTAGATTGATCAACTGAGTATAGAAGTTTAGGTTGAAAATGGTTTTTGATCAGAATTTTTGAGGGCTTTGATTTAATGTTTTCATTACTACATATTGGTGCTGAGAATTCCTGCTACTTGTATGTGACCTAGTTTTATTTTATTTCATTTCATTTTTTCTTTCTGGATGCTTTTACAAATTTTACCTTTGGTTTTCTGAAATTTTATAATGCTCTGCCTGTGTGTGTGTGTGTGTGTGTGTCTTTTCATTCAGAACGCTGGGTACTCAGGGAGCTCTTTCAACTGTGGGAGCTTGTGTTCTCCAGTTCTGGCAAATGTCATTGTACTTTTCTTTTCTCTTTCTAGTAGTCTTATTAATGGGATATTGGATCTTCTGCATTGCTGCATTAATCTTATCTTTGTGTCTTATGTGATATCTCATTCTTTTTGTTTTACTTAATGGGAGAATTCTAAGAAATCAACCTTTCAGTTATAGTATAAGATATATAACTTTATTTGCCCACCTGTACCCCTCCAACACACACATTAACAACCATTAGAGTGTGTACGGTAGGCTCCTATGTTCTCAGGTGAAATTTAGGCTTCCTTATTCTTAACTCAAGGCTTCATCTCCCCTCTGGTAGAGCAACAGTTAACACTACAGCTGGAATTTCCCATAGCTGAACAAGATAGGCAGTCTAGTTCTCTATCTTGGGGATCACTGGGTCAGTAACTAGGGCATTAATTGTATTTGCCACAGGTGTCTCAGGGGCTGCACACATCTTTTCTAGCATCCATACTATTGTTCTCCAACCAAATTCTAAAAATATGGCTTCATTGACCCCCAGTTGTTACTCTGGACTCAAAACTCTAGCTTCTAACAGGAAGCAAGCCAAGTTTTGCTTTTGTTTTGTTTTTGTGTTCATGGGCCCACACTAGAAG